TATATTAGTAGTACATATTTGTGTTAATTGTGCCATTTTACAACTCTCGAGTGCCTCTATTTACACACCACATTTAGTCTCAAGGCACACCATTAATTGGTTATTTTTTATTATAATAACGACCTTACATAAAATGACCAAAATGACCACAAAATAATATCAATACACTCCCCACACACTACCACTCTCCGCCGCCTAATTCTACCTCCGGCCACCATCACCGAAACCCAGCCACCATCGCAACTCCCACAACCTCCCTACCTCGCTGGCGACCCCTTTCCCCTATGCAAACCCTTCTCCCTTTCCCCATCAACAAACAACCCAGTCTCTTACTTCGGCCATGGCTCGTTTTTCTTTATTGCGAAGAGAGAGAGAGAGAAGAGAATCCTAGGGTTTTCAGATCTAGATCTAGGGCTTGCAGGAGTTTGATCGTGTAAACTAGATTCAAAGCTTCGATCTAGGATTTCAAGCTCTGATTCGAATCTTTGCCGCTGTAGTTGTCTTCAGCGAGAAGCTCCTCTTCGATGGGTTGGGAAAGATCTTTGTAGAGGGAGGGTTGCGGTGGTGAGGATAGGTTTAGTAGTTTTTAGAGAGAGAAGAAGTAGTAGGATATGAGATGGGATGGGATGAGAAGTTGCGACGGCGATGGTAGGAAAGTGGTTGAGTAGGTGGTGGAGGGAAGAATGGGGTGGAAAAGGGTTTGGGAGTGTGGTTGGAAGTGGTAAGGCAGAGAGAGTGATGGATGGAGGAGTGAGGAAGAGATTCGCTGGAGAAGGAGGGAGAGGCGACGGCCTGCGGCGAGTGGCGGCGGCTAGGGTTAGGGTTCATGGTGTGGTTGAAGAAGATGAGGATATTTTAGGTATATTTGAAAATGGATGGTATGTATTGATTCTACTTACACCTCTATTTAACCTCTTTACACCCTTCATCTCATTACACCATTAAAAAAAATGTAATTCTCATTACACCCCAATATATTACCAAAACTAACCCTAAATTAACTATTTTTACACCACTAATTTTGGTAACACGGTCCTAAACAATTTACATTATTCCGGTGTTATGCTGCCGAAAAAAATAGATCTCTGCAACATTTTGTTACTATACATTTATAAAGACACTTTCTTCCAAACAATGATTTTTTAATTTGTGGTAGGCTTGTTCGGTAATATAACGCTAATTAATTTGAATTACTCTAGTGCCATGTTATCGGACAATATTTTTTTTCCCAGCATTATGTTGCTGTCCAATTAGATGATAACAAGAAATTGATTTGGGCCATTTGTGAAGTGCATGTTCAGTGATACATTGTTATGCAAATGGAATTACTCTAGTGTCATGTTGCCAAACTACAATAGAGTTATGTAGGCCCTCGTCGCTGTACATTGAAAGATTTACTTTTTCTTGAAGCATCCGTAAAAAAAAATTCATAAATCAAACACGCATCCATAAAATCATACATAAAAAGTATCTATAAAATTATTCATAAAAACATCAAGTGTATGAATATCCACAAAGTATCCATAAAATATGTCATTGTTTGCATCCATCAATCAAACATGTTATCACAATTTATCTTGGTAATTTGTAGGCAATTTTTACTCCCTTAATAGAAATAGACATCCACACTTTTTAGAACTTGTCAACCTCAATCGTTCTGCCTTGATCTTCCTGTTATCTCTATAGTAACCACATCTTTTACAAGCAAGTGTAAGTCTTGGTTTTCTATCATTGCCTCCCGCATTTGATGTCTTTATAACAATGATAAATTCAATCTTTTTTCCAACGTCAAAAGCCTATTTAATTAATGCTTCACGACTACTAAAAATCTAAAGATAATAAATACATTTATATGTCAAATTATTAATAAAACTCAATACAAATTTTAAAAAAAAAATTTGTATTCATTAAAAAAACTTAACAAACCTCGTATGCAATGAACTCATGGCTACAATCCATTAATATTGCATACTTGCGTTGTTGCAATGAGTATAAGTATAATCCTTCAAGGCAAAAAAATAAAAAATATAAAAAAAAATGAAACTAAAAATACATGGTAATGAGAAGCCTAACAAATTAAAAAAATTCAGTATGGGTTTACTGGAAATGTATCTTTGATTCAGTAGTTGGTTACAAGACTTATATTTTTTGCTCGGCAATGTGATGCCGGACTATTTTATTTTGTTCGATTTTGAACCACAGAACGAAAGTCGAACACCGGTTTAGAAAAACGAAACAAAACCTACTAAATAAATAAAAAAAACTCACAATTTCACTTTTTTTATAGTTCTTCACCACCGTTTCTTCATCCATTGCTTTCTTTAATGATCAAAATACTATGATTCTCACTTTTTGAAAAGAGATGTGTAAGATAAAAGAAAATTAAGAAAGGAAAAAGAGGAGTAGAGATTGAAGATTAAGGGGTGTAAAGAGATAATAAAATATATTTAATTGTAGTATTTTGTCCTTAAAGGTAATTTCACACATGGATAAAATTGGGAAGAAAAAAAAACTCATATGAAAGATGTAAAGAGATAAAGTAGTAGTGTAAGTAGAATTACCCAAAATAATAAAGTTAAAATTGTGTTTAGTATGCATTAACCTTGAAACCAAATGTGGTGTGTGAATAGAAACCCCCAAAATAGGCCTCAACACCTCTCTCTCTTGGATCATATTCCACTCTTCCTCTCCTCCTCCACTGACTGAAATCTTTTATAAATATATAATAATCATGTTGTTGCTATTACTGCTGCTGCTGATGGTACTGCTTTTAGAAATAAATAAAGGATTTCACATGTTTTCAAATTTTTAATAGTGAAAAATTATTAAACGAAACACACTTATTGATAAATTTTTTAAAAAAATTCAAGTATCATTAAGGGTCTTTCATTTGATTTTTTTTTTTATTTTTTATATCAGAATCTTTCATTTAATAATTCTTTTCGATCAAAAATCTCAACTATGGAGTCTAATTAAAATTTCAACTGGAACCATATTGCTGTGTACTACTTGTACTGATTCATTATGGAAGTCCTCTGATTCGTTCTCTCTCTGCTCTGCACACTTTGATCCTTTATTGTTTTATTTTTCAATATTTTTTCTCACCCTTGTCGAGAAATTATTCATTGCCCCAAAATATTACTTCATACCATTTAAATTTGGATAAAGATCCAGTTATTTCCTCAAATGAGACAAATAAATATTGGGACTTATTATTTCAACCAATAATACTAAGGTTGGAGCATCACCTAAATATATCCCTAGGACAATGAATAATTTCTCCTCCTCCGCCCTTTTTTTTTTTTTGGAATAAAAATTAGAATCTTTTAATAATGTTGCAATAATCACATTTATTGATCATGTTTTATTTATCATATGTTTTGAAGTTGGAAAAGATTATTGTACATATCCCTCAAAAGATGTGTGCTATAAATGTGATAAGATAATAAATAAAAACATGACAAATAAATGTAGTTATTCTAGCAGTGATAATTTGATATAGTCATTCTAGCATTTAGGGACTTGCGCGGTGCGATTCAGTGTGATTTAAAAATAAAATTATAAACTAAATCGTAAATGACGGATTGACAAATAACCAAACCGTTTGTTAGTTGTTTGAAAAATAATTTTAAACAATTATTAAACATTTGAATAATATATAACACTAATTTATAATAAATTATACATCCTACATCTCTTTCACATCAATTTTTAATTTGATATTTTATTACAGGTAAAAAAATATATTAACTATAACAGAGCAGTTCCGAAAGCATATTGAAAATTTCAAATCATAGTTCAAATTAACCTGCGGTTCGCGGGTGGAACAGGATGGATTGAGAAGATCGATGTGAATTGAGTGATATTTTGCACAACTCTACTAGCATTGATAATTTTTGGGTTAATTACATTTTTAATGTTCAAAGTATGCTATTTTTGTCATTTTGGTCTCTAACATTTAAATTATGTCAATTTAATTCACATTGTATAATTGAGAGACCAAAATGACATAAAACTCATAATCACGAATGAAATTAACTCTTAACATTATTTTAGTTTATTATTAAAAAAATTCAACTGACATAACTACAAAGTTTCATGAACCTCACAGAAATACAGTTCTTTTATCAAGATAAAAATTTTAAAAATAGAAATACAGTTGATATTCACACACACCTTGAGCTTTAGGCCTAGGGTCTTGTTGGGATTATGCTTTGTTTCAATTCAAACCCATCCAAAGTGATATTTTCATTCTAAAGAAGAAAAAAAAAAATTATAGTTACTTTCTCAAGTCAAGTGTAACTGTATAAAACATCTACATGCTATTAGTATCTTCAAAATTTGAGAAGGATAATGGACAATCTTAATATTTTAGAAACATCCTTACTCTCAAAAGCTTAAACCATGATGAGTAGGGGGCTGGCGGCATACTTCATTCCACATGACTTTTCCAGCGATGATTCTTATAAAAATCAATCAAAACTACATATATTTACAGACATGACGATGAGTTTGGTTTTGCCACCTCAGATTTGATGTGGAAAATCTGGGACGATCAGAACAAGAGAACATTCATTTGTAAGAAGAGCCTATTTGGAGAATTAAAAGTTTAGGCTTTTGGAGACTTGGGATCAGGTTTTGATGTATAATTTGTTTTCGGCCTTCTTGTAAATTAAATTATATCATTACTTATCAAAATAACATGTGTTGGGGTATAGATAATAGAACTATAGTACACATTACCTAGTGTTGCTGTGAGCGACGAGTCTTGACAACATAAACATAATGATAACCACTCAGTGTACAGTTTCATTTTTTTTGTTTTAAACAGAACTAGGGAGGACAACTAGGTAAATGCCAAGACGGCCCGAACAATATAGTGGAGCACTTGTCATATAATGACAACTAAAAATAATCTCAAGCCATCACAAAATCACATTATAAATATGTCAATGCAAAGAATAATGAGCCATGTAACCAAGAAATAATCATTCATGTGATTGACTTGGAATTTTGGATATATTTAAGTTTAAACAGTTGTACTAGGCACCTTGATTCTGATATTTTACATGTGATATATATCTCCATACAGGTACATTCTGATACAATAACCCTGTTGCTAATAAATAATGTAGAGCTTTTACATCCACCATTACAAGCGTGCATGTAACTAGTCAAAACAACAGGGAATGTGAAGTGTAGAAAAAAGGATAAGATACTCGGACCTTATTTATTAGAGCACTCATTGGATTCCATCAGTTGCTGTGGCCTGCGATGGTACATATTGATTGTAAGTGGCAGAACACAATGACAATAGTCAAATTAAAATGTCCACTCTTTTGAGTAACAATACAGAGCTTAAACAATAAATTGGTAACCTCCAAATAATGCAGAGTAGAGCTTTTATGTAAAACAATTCAGATGACGTTGGTAGGGACGTAATTAGAAAGGAAAATCATGCTTTTTTACAAAACAAACAAATGTGCCAATCAGCCAGCAAATAAGGAAAATATCATGCAACATATCGGAAAGTGTAGTTTAAAAATAAATAAATAAATAAGGGTAATTTATGGTCATAATGAAGTAAACAGCTTAGTGACAAATATGGAAACATTTCCAAGAGAATGGAAGTATTGTTGCTTGCTCAAAATATAAGGTAAACTTCTTTCTTCTTAGTTAAGGACAAAATATGAGGTAAACATATCACTCAAATTACTCAATTATAACAATGCCAAAAATTAGTATGGAAATATCGTTATTACTGTTTAGGATTTGAAAGAATTTTGTGTGGTCTTGTACACCAATACAATTGTGGCCCCTTTACACAGCCTTAGGATTGCTAAATGACAGATCCAAAATCCATTTAGCAACAAATCTAACACCAAAATGGAAACAGCAATACTTGCATCCACTTACTACAACTCATACAACATTAAATCTCAATAGACATGTTGTCGTTCCACGTAACACCTATTCAAACGAGGGACACAGTGTAGTTATTATCCATTCTTCAAGCCAAATAACTAGGCATTTACAAACAGTTTCCTAGCCCATGTCATCTAAGAGATTCAGTTTTAACTGATTTGTTAAGCTCTTTCTCTTTTGGTAACCTAATTCAAAAGAAATGCTAATCACATAATTGGATAAAGTTACATACACAAAATTTCCTAAAAATCCAGAATGTATTTCCTTATGATAAATAGTAACTAAGTAAAACGTACAGCTCCCAGCGTGACAGATTAATTTTGCAGTTGCAAATTATTCCTTTTTGTGCTCAAGACATATTTCATTATAGAAGCCTTCCATATCTCCTATACACAATCTTGTGGAAGTAAAAATCAAGGACCATGAAGAACTCCAACACAATTGTAACCATTTAAAAGATTACTTGTTCAGATAGACATGAACTGAAATTTAAAATAATGTGTATGGTCACCTAGAGGAAAATTTCCTATCAAAACTGTTGAATATTTCTTCCTTTTAAAGTGAAAAATCAGTTTCTTGAAAACAGAAAGAAATGAAAAAACACATTACCTGTTGTAACAACTACCCAAGAAAATATATGTACTTTTGTAATAAAAAACAAAAAAAATAAAGAAGGAAAGGAAAGGAAAACAAAAGGACTTGCAATTGATAGTCAGTGGCCATATCTATCAATAAAATTGTTCAAAATGTTAATTTTAGTTTTTTTCAAAATATAACTTAATTTAAATAGTCAGAGGTATACCAAACTGATGAGTGACTCATACCAAGCCCATTGCAAGTAAGTATCATCCCTTTAAATCTGGTTAGATACTCCTGTATTGAAGTGGAAAGACATCCCAAATAATTAGGATGCATCACAGAAGAATCACACAAACAAAGTGAATTAAAGCAGGTTGACAAATCTAAGCCTGATGATACAATGGAAATTCTTACTCGCAAAGTGTACTTATCAATCTCATAGTTTCCAGTTATATCATAATCAAGTCGCTTGGCAGGATCACTTAACACTGCAAAAGAACCATACGCCATCAAAACTATAAATATTAGTACAGAATCTACACGAAAGGAAATAAAGAAGTTCTAAACAAAAAAGAAACAATGATTGTGAAAGGGTTAGTTTCTGTTTATGGTAATTAGTCTGAATTAAATTTTAGCAGCTTATTAATCTGAATTATCAGAAGGCAAATTCTGCTTTTAATTACTCAATTATAACAATGCCAAAAATTAGTATGGAAATATCGTTATTACTGTTTAGGATTTGAAAGAATTTTATGTGGTCTTGTACACCAATACAATTGTGGCCCCTTTACACAGCCTTAGGATTGCTAAATCTAGCACCAAAATGGAAACAGCAATAGTTGCATCTACTTACTACAACTCATACAACATTAAATCTCAATAGACATGTCATTCCACGTAACACCTATTCAAACAAGGGACACAGTGTAGTTCTTATCCATTCTTTAAGCCAAATAAGTAGGCATTCTTTAAGCTCTTTCTCTTTTGGTAACCTAATTCAAAAGAAATTCTAATCACATAATTCAATAAAGTTACATACACAAAATTTTCCCGAAAATCCAGAATGTATTTCCTTATGATGAATAGTAATTAAGTACAAAGTACAGCTCCCAGCGTGACAGATTAATTTTCCAGTTGCAAATTATTCCTTTTTGTGCTCAAGACATATTTCATTATAGAAGCCTTCCATATCTCCTATACACAATCTTGTGGAAGTAAAAATCAAGGACCATGAAGAACTCCAACACAATTGTAACCATTTAAAAGATTACTTGTTCAGATAGACATGAACTGAAATTTAAAATAATGAGTGTATGGTCACCTAGAGGAAAATTTCCTATCAAAACTGTTGAATATTTCTTCCTTTTAAAGTGAAAAGTCAGTTTCTTGAAAACAGAAAGAAATGAAAAAACACATTACCTGTTGTAACAACTATCCAAGAAAATATATGTACTTTTGTTATAAAAAATAAAAAAAATAAAGAAGGAAAGGAAAAGAAAACAAAAGGACTTGCAATTGATAGTCAGTGGCCATATCTATCAATAAAATTGTTCAAAATGCTAATTTTAGTTTTTTTCAAAATATAACTTAACTTAAATAGTCAGAGAGGTATACCAAACTGATGAGTGACTCATACCAAGCCCATTGCAAGTAAGTATCATCCCTTTAAATCTGGTTAGATACTCCTGTATTGAAGTGGAAAGACATCCCAAATAATTAGGATGCATCACAGAAGAATCACACAACCAAAGTGAATTAAAGCAGGTTGACAAATCTAAGCCTGATGATACAATGGAAATTCTTACTCGCAAAGTGTACTTATCAATCTCATAGTTTCCAGTTATATCATAATCAAGTCGCTTGGCAGGATCACTTAACACTGCAAAAGAACCATACGCCATCAAAACTATAAATATTAGTACAGAATCTACACGAAAGGAAATAAAGAAGTTCTAAACAAAAAAGAAACAATGATTGTGAAAGGGTTAGTTTCTGTTTATGGTAATTAGTCTGAATTAAATTTTAGCAGCTTATTAATCTGAATTATCAGAAGGCAAATTCTGCTTTTAGGGACTAGTAGCTTCCACTGTGGCCCAAAATATGCTTCACCCAGAAATATAACGAGCATTCAATTTATGAAACGGAAGTTAGATGTCAATAACTCAACATACCAATACAAAAAAATAAAAATAAAAACTAGAAATCCAAATACCAAATGGGCAAGGACTGTCAATTCTAGATACATGAACCAATCTTTAAAATCTTAATGTCCATTCACCATGCCACACGTTTGAGAACTTACAAATATTGAACTCTAAAGTGTTTATACTCCATAACCTAACCACCAACTGAACATGGGGACTGACATAATTATAATAAGGCCACATGCATGGTGTAAAACAGGGGATCTAGACCTTTGTGCTTTTGAAACACCACATAAGAATTACTTATATATATATAGGATATAAAATTAAACAAATATAAAAAAAAATGGACAAGAATTACCAGTGTAAGCCTCGTTGATCTGTTGAAATTTTGCAGTAACAGCATTGTCACCCTTGTGTTTGTCAGGATGCCATTTCTGTTACATAGTAATAGAATGCAAGACCATGTAAATTTCCAATAATGTACTATAATTTAAATCAAGAAATGTAAAAGTGCTATTAGAATATGCCATCAGTTACCAAGAAAAGATGGAAAACTAACCAGTGCCAGTTTCCTGTAATTTAACTTAATCTTCTCATCAGTTGCATCATAATCTACCTCCAAAACTTTGTAATAATCCTTCAAATGAGTAAGAATTTCCCCTCAGATATCCAAGCTAAAGGGAACATCAAGATCAACAATACTCAAATCGGCTGAAACCTACATAAAAAATGAAAAAATAACATAAGAAAACAAAGAAGAGGAAAGGGGGTTAGTTTCATGGATATCAATGCCCCAAAAAAAAAAAAAAAAAAATAAAGTGATTAAGCTAAAACCCAGGGTTTAGGACACAGATTAAATATGCTGTTAATATAACCAAATAACATGTATGGAAATCTTGAAACAGTAAATCTCTCTTACATACAACATGTGCTATCATAAATGGGTTCTGCCAAGAGATCTTGTAAGCAACCAAATAACATGATAATAAAACTCCAAAATTCAAGTTGGTAATACATGATGAAATAACTATAAATGTGAGTAAGCCAAAATTCAAAGTTGTGCACCAGTAATACATATGTGAGTAATCCAAAATTCAAAGTTGAATTCAAAGGATGATTGCACCACACGTATAAATGTATGGAATGTTTCTTGTGCATAATTATTGCGGGAAGTTCATGTTGCCTTCAATACACTAACCTAAACACCTGCAAATGTAGTAGGTTTGCTACTTGATATTGCCCCATTTGGTTCCACTTATTTGCAGCTTATTTAGGTTAAAATTTAAAATCACATGCTTAAGCATATGTACTTCAAAAAAGTAAGTTGCTTGGCTCCAAGTTTCAGGTTTTCAGCTTATTTGCCTCTTCAGCTTAAAAAGCTAAAAAATCTAACTTTTTTGAAGTTGGGTTTTAGGTGTTATTTTCAAGCTAAAATCAACTCCTTTTTTTTTTTGTGTTACCAAATGTGACCACTTGTGCACAAATATGTATTACTTGTGCACAAATAGTTGAGTCCTACTTGGTCAAATAGGAAAAATAACAGTCCCTTGCCGTTTTTCTTCTTTTCCTAATTGTTCTTTACTTGTGCACAAAGAGTCAAAGAGTTGTTCCCTTCTTTTTCAAATAAGATAAATAACAGTCGCTTGCACCATTGTTTCTCTTCCTAATTTTTCATTTGAAATACTCTGGATAGAGTTTTTATGAAATGAATCATACGATAGCAGAATTATTAATGAGAAATTCCAAGATGGTTCACCAATAACAGACATGAATAAAGTATACTACTGCCTCGAATATACTTGGAGAATAAATGAATCACAACTATAATATGAAACAGATGCTGCTAAATTATCAGTTACCCCACGAAAATGCAATGATAAAGTGAAAGGATCACATTAACCTGCAAGATACCACATTTTTCATTTAAAGATAGAGATAGAGTGCCACTCCACCCTACTGTCGGTCAAACTTGAAAAGTTAAAAGTATCAATCGTGAGGGTGTGTGAAAAAGTCTACATGGACCAGCCAAACTAATTGTTCTAGGCTTCTAGCTATTTTCATGGTAGCAAAAGAACAATAGACATATTGTACCCCATATTTACACTTAATGATGGAATGCCATAACGAATGACTCTCCATGGGAAATCTTCATAACCACTTACTGAGAAGAGCAATCTTCATAACCACTTACTAAATGATCTTTTCTCCCCTCTTCCTTAACTTCCCAAAGGAAATCCCTCATCAGTTTCTCAGTCTTATTTGCAACTCAAACCGGACTTTTGAAAAAAGACAAATGGTAGGGGATCTTGAACTGGAATCTCAAACAATCTTATTGGCCTTCCCTTAAGACAGGATCGTGTTATCCTAGAAGTTTTTGCTCATATGTTTGCTTCTACTCCTACTACATTTTAATATATATATATATACATATCAAGTAATAAACTACACAACAAAACTACTAGAAGAATAAAAAAAGTATGCCCAGTTTTAATACCCATTGAACGGGGGTTAGGAAGGGATAGATTAGGTACGGAGTTAACCTTTGTCATAAACTATAAAAAGAAGATCAATCATACTATGCATGAATAATAGTATAATATTCATGGTAATACTAACTAACTATTAAATATAGATAAACAAGTATATGCATAACTCAATTCTAAAATGCTCATGAATATCATACTCCCACCTAATCCACTTTAAAGAACATTGGATGCAAAATGAAAAGAAAAACAAAAATCAAAATTCTTTAGTTAAAAACTAAAAGGTACAAACACCACTAAGAAGGTGTCGTATCCATGTTAGACATATGTGCACAGAGAGAGAGAGAGCAAATAGAAGATCCGTATTCTGTTCAATAAAAATTTGTTGAATCAGTGGGTTAATGTTGAAAAAACAAAAAATAAAAATGAAATTGCAAGGAAAGAAATGGAAAATAAAAAGAAGAGTTTGGTTCTACATGGAGAAAACTACATCCGTATGTATTTTTGTATTTATGGGGTGCGGCAGTGGGTTTTGGAATTTTCGAAGGGCTGCAAAAAGCAGAAGACAACAAGGCTACCTAAGCATAAAGGAAACAATTATTACAAGGGCAAGTTTATGAAGTTACTCTTTGTTGAGTCCTAAGTCAGAAAACAAAAGATTTAGAGTTTTAGTTATGGTCTTTCCATTTATTTCTTGGTAACCTATTGAAGCCTATAGAGAGACTTTAACAAGAAATCGAGCAAAAACAACATAAAGGGTGCTCCAAGGTAATACACACAATATAGAAACTTTTTTTATTTTTATTTTTTTATTTATAAATAACAGTAACTCACTTCCAAACTATGAAGCACGGACAAGCCCACAGGGCGATTTCAAAAAAATGAGGACACACACGGTGGTGGACACGGCAATTTTTTTTAGAAAATATATATATATAGTTTTTGCAATTTGCAATGTAAATTAACACTACATTACCAAACAATCAAAATTAATAAACACTAACATTAATTCAATATATACATAAAAACCACTACATTTAAATAAATAAATAGAAAAAGAAAAAACAAACTGATTTAAAGAGAAATATATAATATATTTATTATAAATAGTATATAATAGTATATTTATTAGAGATAGAGAGACGACGAGAAAGAAAGACGACGACAAAGAGATGACGAGAGAGAGAGAGAGACGATCAACGAGACAAGATGAGAGAGAAGAGAGAGAGAGAGACGACTGGCAAGACAGGATGAGAGAGAAGAGACACTTAACATACTGCAGATGGAGCTTGATGGAGAGATCGATCAAATGCCATCCTCCAACAGGTTCTTCGTTTCCCTTCTCTCTTTTTTGGTATTGATTTAGAATTTAGGTCTTCTAATTTAGGATATGTTTGAGTTGAGGATTTTTTATTTCTTTTTTTACTTTGTTAAACTTATACTTTTACCCAAAAGATATACAGAATTAAAAAATTGGCCACGACTTGTCCCCAACGTGTCCCATACCAAATAAATAAATAAATTCAAGGGCCACGCCAAATGGCGTGTCACGCACGTGTCCTTGCTTCTTTTCCGCGTATTTTTTTTTTGTTTCCTATTTTTTTCATGTACTTGCGCATTAATTCACTTCTCTGATTCTGGGGTTTACTTCCGCTGTCCTTATTCAATTTTGTGCATATCAAATGTTCATTTTGTTTATCTATGATTTTGATTAGTTGGTTGGTTTTTAGACTTCTGAAAATATCAAATTGTGGTGCGTTGTTTGGAAGCTATGAATGAACACTTCAAAATAGGTGCCATAGCAGTGTCGGACACGGGGACAAGAAAAGAAATTTGGTGGTTGGCGGGAGGGAATTGAGAATGGGAGGGGCAGTGGTGTGCAGTACTTACATTGTAGGAACTGTCCTCATTCCTTTCCATATATCTACTTATATATTTAATGCTAAAATGTGTGATACTATAACAAAAAGAGATTGTATACACAATACTTAATTTGACTGATGAGGTATGTGCAGCAAGAGAGAGAGAGAGAGAGAGCAAACAGAAGATCCTTATTCTGTTCAATAAAAATTTGCTGAATCAGTTGGTTAATATAGCAAAAACAAAAAATAAAAATGATATTGCAAGGAAAGAAATAGAAAATAAAAAGAAGAGTTTGGTTCGATATGGAGAAAAGTACATACGTATGTAGTTTTGTATTTATAATGTGCGGTGGGTTTTGGAATTTCCGAAGGGCTGCAAAAAGAAGAAGATACCAAGGCTAAGCATAAAGGAAACAATTATTACACAGGTAAGTTTATGAAGTTACTCGTTGTTGAGTCCTAAATCAGAAAACAAAAGATTTGGAGTTTTAGTTATGGTCTTTCCATTTATTTCTTGGTAACCTGACGCCTATAGAGAGACTTTAACAAGAAACCAAGCAAAAACAACAAAAAGGGTGCTCCAAGGTAATACTCACAATCTAGGAACTTTTTTTTGTGTGTGTGTGTGAGATAAATAACAATAACTCACTTCCAAACTATGAAGCACGGACACGGACACGGACACGGACACAGGACACGGCAATTTCAAAAAAATGAAGACACACACAGGGCGGGGGACACGACAATTTTTTTTAATATATATATATGTATTTGCAACGTAGATTAATACTACATTACCATACAATTAAAATTAATAAATACTAATATTAATTCAATGAATATGTAAAAGCCACTACATTTAAATAAATAAAAGAAAAAGAAAAACAAACTGATTTAAAGAGAAATACATAATATATTTATTATAAATAGTCTATAATAGTATATTTATTAGAGATAGACAGGTGACAAGAAAGAGAGAAATATGACAATGACAGAGAGAGTGAGAGAGAATAGAAGACAAGAGTGAGAGAGAGACAATCAACGAGACAGGATGAGAGAGAAGAGAGAATTACCAGACTGGAGATGGAGCTTGATGGAGAGATCGATCAAATGCCTTCCTCCAACAGGTTCTTTGTTTCTCTTTTCTTTTTTTTGTTCTGATTTAGAATTTAGGTCTTCTGATTTAGAATTTGTTTAAGTTAGGGATTTCTGATTTTCTTTTTCTTTGTTAAATTTACACTTTGACACAAAAGATATACAAAATTAAAAAATTGGCCCCAACATGTCCCATA